AACCGGACCAGGACCCCCCCATAATACACCCCAATATAGACAGGACACGCAACTGGACCAGGACCCCTCCATGCATTCCGGCGCCAACACACAACTGCCAAAGGTTTCACTTCTGCTGCTTTCTCTGTGTAGACGTTCTTTGTGTTTCCTCTTCCTGGGTCCCCTTGGTGTCGGTGGTGCGGCACACTTGGGTTCCCCTTCCATTGAGGGAATAGACCCGATTCTCTGTTGCTGCTTCCTTGGGGCCAAGGCCCTTGGTAAAGTGGCCCCAAGAAGAAGAAGCATGTGCTCCAGGGAACCGTTAGCTTGACTCAGGATCTGCCACGTCCTGCAGCCGCCCCCCATCTTCTGGTAAGGAGGAGATGATGTCCTCCTTCTACTCCATCAGGTCACATGGGACATCCCAAACCTCTTCTGCCTCATGCCGGCCATGACAGTTCCATTGTCAGAATCTTTGTTTCGTTTCTCATAGAAGGAAGAAGAATTCTGACGGTGGTGAATGTGGTTTGTGTTCGGGGATATTGCAATGTGAATGTGCCGAGCTGTCCGATAAGTCTGCAATTTCATTCACGTAGCCGGTCTGGAGATGACCCGGTGATGGCGAGACTCAATGGTCCTGGCAGCTGAAGTCCCGCCCTCCTGGACTGCCAGGGAGGGAGGAAACGAGTGACCACGGCTCTTCTCTGATGAAGAAGATGGATCCCGCCAGAGTTTACAGACTTTTCTCTGGAGGATGTTTATGATCCACACAAAGCTATCTATGAGGCCTTGGGACATTGAGGAGGAGAAGTGTCAGCGGAATGTCCCGGGACTGAGAACGAGTATCCCCCGGTGTAGTGTGAGTCCATGCTCACAGGGGACTGTGGAAAAAACCTTTCCTCCCATACAGCTGGAAACATTGGCTTCCCTTGGACAAGGACCCAGCTTTGCCCCGGAGGATATGGACATTCTTAGGAGGCAGCGGGCGAGGAGGTTGGAATTCTAAATTCTGCTCTATTGAGTCTGAAGCTTGTCTTACCTGTGTAGCCAAGAAGGTGGAATTCGGGCGAAGCCTCCCTTTTGTAGCCGGTACTCCTAAAGAACAGTTGTTGGAGCCACTTCCTTGTTGCGGATGCTTCGGGCCTGGATCAGTCAGGATGTTGGCGGGATCAGTCAGGATGTTGGCGGGATCAGTCAGGATGTTGGCGGGATCAGTCAGGATGTTGGCGAGATCAGTCAGGATGTTGGCGGGATCAGTCAGGATGTTGGCGAGATCAGTCAGGATGTTGGCGAGATCAGTCAGGATGTTGGCGGGATCAGTCAGGATGTTGGCGGGATCAGTCAGGATGTTGGCGAGATCAGTCAGGATGTTGGCGGGATCAGTCAGGATGTTGGCGGGATCAGTCAGGATGTTGGCGGGATCAGTCAGGATGTTGGCGGGATCAGTCAGGATTAAAACCAAAAGATTCTGCATCCAATTTACGTTTCCGGAACCCGTCCTTTTGGGGGATTCGGTCCGAACTTGGAGGCCATTCTTGAGTGTACCATGGTCAAGAAGAAGAAGAAATCGTTTTTGGCTCAGGAGGACAGAGATGACAGACCAAAGAAGCACTGGTGCACCAAAAAGGTAAGGAGGGATTCCCTGTAGCCCCCCAAGTCACAATGACGCATTGACCCCGGTGGGAGGAAGGTTAGAGGGTTCCTTCCAATGTGGACACTGATCTGCCCCTTTCATTCTGTAGCTAATAGAGCGTGGATACTAGCTGGAGCTCGACAGTCCCTCTCTTTTGTGATTTTTGGTGGTGGATCTTCCCCAAGACCCGAGTCAGGGCTCTATGTCTACTTTTGGGGGATTTAGTAGACCAGAAGGTCATGATTCCTGTGCTTTGGGAAGGGCATGGCATCCTCTACTCACATGTTTTGGTATATAATAAGCAAACCTCAATCTCAAACCCCTGAAGTCTGAAACATACAAGAAGGTTCTAATGGACTTTCAGGACACTTCAGCTGAACCGCTTGATGGGATCTCTGGACCTAACAGATGCTCAGATATTCTAATGCTTGACCGTGAGGATGGACACTGGAATTCTGGGAGATGGCCTGGCACCCTGGAGACTTTGTTCCATCATATTGTGTTCCTCTCCTGGATGGTCTGATGCTTTCAGCTTCACAGTTCAGGTTGTCCCATTCGCAGAGAATTCTGGCGCCACTTTGGATCAGATGTCTAAGGTGGCCACGCGGTCACGTTTCTCCATGTTCATTTGTCATTACAGGTTGGATCTTTCCTCAAGCCAAGATCAAGGTTTTGGGAGAAGGTCCTTCGAGCAGTTATCACTTCCTAGTCTTTGGGTTCCTTTCCATCTTCTCTTCTTCTGTCCTGGAAGATGACCTCGGGGGTTAGGGTCAACGTAACGATAACTTCCGGGAGACTTCCAGGACAGCGGGGTTCCCGTAATGTACTTTCATGTATTTGTTTTTTGTAGTTCTGTTCTTTTTGGCTCTCGGGTTAGCCGAGGAGAGCGTCTGGGTGACTTCCCTTTAGCATTTGGCCTGGTGAGGTGTCTCCTGTCCTAGTGGGAGGGACGTCTGCCTTGTCTGCTGTCCCGGAGGATGGCTGGAAATGGAGTGGCTGGAAAGGTCTCGCTCCAGTTGTTCTGATGACGGTGATGGTCTTTGTGGTGGAGTTCATTGTTGGACCTTCTGGTGGAATTGGCACTTTGACATCATTTCCCCCCCACTCTATGAGTGTAGAGCTCGTGTTGTACATTGTGCTGATGACGTTCTATCATTTTGTCTTCTTCTTTCTTTAGCGTTTCTGCACCGAGCTCACCCAAGGAAGCCGTTCTGCTCTTGCTGACCCGCCATTTGCACAGGAGCTGTATATAAACCTCGTGCGGTCACCATGCTATGGTAGTGAGGCCTCGTACCAGGCGGCTCTGTACCGCCATTTTCAGACCCCCAGGTATGACTCTCCTTAATTCCTGTCGCATCTTATCATCAATATGTCTCCTTTACTTCCTGCCCTATGATTGGCTTGTTGGGTTCATGCGGTTTGTCTAACAGAAATAAAACATTGGGCTGCGCTGAGCGAATTAATGGCTGATTATTGGGCTGCGCTGCGTCTCCATTGGGCTGCCGTGCGTCTCCATTGGGCTGCCGTGCATCTCCATTGGGCTGCCGTGCGTCTCCATTGGGCTGCGCTGCGTCTCCAGTGGGCTGCGCCTTGTCTCCATTGGGTTGCGCCTTGTCTCCATTGGGCTGCGCCTTGTCTCCATTGGGCTGCGCCTTGTCTCCATTGGGCTGCGCCTTGTCTCCATTGGGCTGCGCCTTGTCTCCATTGGGCTGCGCTGCGTCTCCATTGGGTTGCGCCTTGTCTCCATTGTGCTGCGTCGCGTCTCCATTGGGCTGCGCCGCGTCTCCATTGGGCTGCGCCCCGTCTCCATTGGGCTGCGCTGCGTCTCCATTGGGCTGCGCTGCGTCTCCATTGGGCTGTGCCTTGTCTCCATTGGGTTGCGCCTTGTCTCCATTGGGCTGCGCCTTGTCTCCATTGGGCTGCGCCTTGTCTCCATTGGGCTGCGCCTTGTCTCCATTGGGCTGCGCCTTGTCTCCATTGGGCTGCGC